GCGCCCACATACCCCCTACCGGGACAAGGCAGACCTCTGCCCGCGTGCGGACGACCCTCGCATTTTCCGCACGGGCACTCAAAATCCAGGTTAACCGAGCCTTCCTGTCACTTGCAAAAACCAGGGCGGATACCCTTGTAAGGGTATTCGCGCCGACAGCCTACCGGACCATATTAAGCGACGTCCCCGTCGCGTCGCTAAATCAAAAGGCTATAGATTCATTCACACTCCAAGTGCTGACGAGATTAGAACCAATCCGATTAGCCGGCAGACTCAGGGTTGAGGCCTCCATCAAGCCGTGCCAACACAACTATATGCTGCCAGGGTTTCAACCTAATCCCCATTGTCCTGACACCAGGACGCCGGTGTATTACGCATCAATACTACAACATAAGTTCCAAAGGCCCTCAAACCATCCTCTTCCCCTTTGTCCTAGACAAACGCGGGCTCCTCGTTGGGTGTCCCAGTTAGTCTCTTTCTCGTAACCAGAGCCATAACTTGGGACGCGGGCCTTAGATGAGACCTATGAAGGCATTTTCGCCCTCTCCCTACAAATTTCCTTACAATCAAACAAAATACACACGTATAAGCTTATAACCTCTCTCGGCCTTTTCTGCAGTCTAGTACAGAAATGTCAGGTCTCCATCTGGGCCCACCATAGCCTGGTTGATCGGGCCAGGTCTACGGCCCACCTCATGGTTACCTTAGCGGTGGTATCCTCCCACTGGTTATGCAACGACAGGTATGTCCCTGATAATCAATCAATCAGGGCCCTCAAAAGACTCGACTCTTATCCCGCGGAGCAATTTCTCTGGGGCGGGCAACTCCCCTTAAACTCTTACTTCGCGGGCCCGCAGCTAGGTTGTGCCGGCTAGCAGCCATCCACCAGGGGTTGCGTCCAGGTGGCACTAAGCTTTACAGTTAGCTTGGTATTCCTTTAAGTATGTCTCAGAATTAGCACAGGTGGCCCGGAGGGGCGTCACAAACAAATCACGGGCCACTGCGGGACTACGGAGGGGTCTGGAGGCAATTACCGGCCCTCCAATAATAGGCACTGCATCCTTCGCTCAATCAAAAACAGTCTCCCCGCCGGATCCACAAGGCCACAGCTACTGACTTGATCAGAGCCAGTAGTCGCCCACCCTCAGGCATCTCTCGCCCTTTTCAAACATTTCAGGCAAACATGGTTCTCTCTCGTCAGGCTTTATCAACACAAACAATGTTTTCCATACCAGTCAATTTTTACCCACCCTTACTTAGTAAAGGGTGCCTCTCACAAAAATCTCGCATCCACCCCCCCCCTGTGTGTTCGGGATGAATTTTTGCGCGGCCCCTTCCAAAACCCATGAAGGGGCCCCGACAATAATACAATTCCCACCTCCCAATACCATGAAGGGGGTCTTAGTAACAACACGAGTACCACCCCCAAAAATCATGAAGGGGGTCTTAATCGCGAAACAACTCAAACTGAGGGACCATCTTCTGGGCCCTTGTATAATTTGAGCAAACGACGCCTGGCATAGCCAGACAATCATACCTCTGAGTTCATCAATCCCGTAGGATTCTCACAATTTTTCACAACACAGGCTGCACTTCCCCTCCTTATACCCTGCCCTCTCGCCTGCTCACAAGCAGGCCGCATGAGTATACCGGAGGGTAAACAACTTTACAATTTCTCAAACATGCCCAAGAGATGTATCCTGTACATCTCTCACACAAAGCCAATCATACATCAGGATAAAGCCACACATGTGAGAGTGATAGTGGTCGTCACAAGACAAGTCCCATAGGATCCCAGCTCATAATACACTCAGGGGGTAAAATGTCTCCCTCAAGACTCAAACACAAACATTCAACTCAAACTCTGCCCATCTGAACATGGCTCACGACCCCACCGTACACCCACGGAATACACTCGGGGACACAACCTCTATCTAAAGTCTAATGGGTGTCTAACCCCTGCCTCACTCTACTGGGGAACTCACGCCTATATCTCCCTCAAAACCTGAATAGTCTCTACATCACAAACCAAATGTAGCTAACTAGCCTCAGGTGTCTCACGACCGTACCCCATTTCTTAGGTCGTGCCTCATAAAAGAACTCAAAAAAAGCACAGTCGACCAAGTATATACAGTCAGGCAGGGATTCATCCTACCACCCTTAGCGTATACACACATCTAGGGGCCCCTCAGCCAACTCAGCATATGTACACCTCCAACCCGCCCCCTGTGTGCCAAATACTCTGGTCCTACTGACACATAGACAGACCAACCCTTACTCACACAATTCCTCCTGGTTCTGCCTATAAAACTGAGCCCTGCCCCCATTTGGAGCTCGCTCCACTATCCCGCCTTGTCTGTCATAGAGCTTGTCGTCGACCTCTGCGACCCGCCCCTCGGCCTTATCCTCGAGAAGCTCTGGGCAGTCCACACTCTATGCCCTTCCTTCTTGCACCAAAAGCAGGAAGTGTTGTGCCACCTGGCAGTCTTCTTCTTTCTCTCCCGGAAACTCGATGCTGAAGGCGTTCCCATGGTCTCGGTGGTCACCTCATGACACAATGGTACCCCCATATGGTCCCGAGGCTCGGACTCCATAGCCTCAGCATCCTCACCCCCTCGCTCGGCAGTGCTCATTGGCTCATCGTCCGGCGTACCCAACCCTCGGGCCCCCTCCTCTTGAGGCCTCTCCGTTACAACCACACCCCCACACGATCCTGACGGCTGAGAGCCCACCATGGCGGTGGGCTCACTCATGACCTCCTGCTGCTGCTGCCGCCCTGAGCCAGGTCCTCCTGAGTCCGTCTCTGTGGCCCAGGAGCCCAGCTCCGCCCTCAGCTCTCCCAGCCTCGGGGCATACTCTGGAGTGCCGAGTCTCTAAGGCCTCTCCTGTGGAGTACCTATCCCCATGGCTGCTCCCAGCTCATGCAGACGCGAGCCTCTCCGCTCCGTGGACATAGCCATAAGCGACTCCTGTGCATCACCCTCCTCCTCGGCCGTGTCCAGGGGCGCCTCCCCCATTGGCCTGGCCTGCCGAGGGGCCTTCACCGCTGCTCCCTGACTCAGCGAAGCCTGCATCCCTCGGCCCTGGCCATCGGCACCGGCTCGTCCCGTCTGGCTAGCCTCCTAGGCTTCTGAGAGCCTATCCAGAATGGCTGCCATCTCCCCAAATCTCCTCTCCCACTCAACCTCTCTGGCCTGGCTCCTCGCCCTCTCCTCGGCAAGTTGAGTAGTCAGGTGCTCCACCTCCAACTCTCTGACCCTGAGCTCACCGCTGAGTAGACTATACCACTGGAAGGATGTAACTGCTGTCTCGCATATCTTCCTATCCACACACTCAATCGCCTTCCTAGTCGCGGAGAACCCCAAGTCCCCCATCTCTCTCAGCTCACCCGCCTCCACGTCCGCCTGTCCCGCCCCTCGTGACCTCTGGCGAGCCGCGTCCCTCTGGCTCTCGTACCTCGCCCACAACTTGTTGATCCGCTGCTTGCTCGTTTTGGGATCGACCGGCGACGTCGGCTCTATCCCTGCCGCCTCCATTTCAGCCTGCCTTCTGTGTATCTTATCGAGACGGACTCGCACTCTGGCGGACTTCTGCTCGCGGGTTTCTCTTGAGGCTCCCCTCCCTTGCGGCCCCTGGCCTTCCGGGGTCGATGCTTCGGCACCCACCCTCTCGCTCGTGCATGGCAATGCCGGCAGTAGCCCCTCCAGTACAGGCTCGTCGATAGTTGGGCGCTCGGTCGTGGGCATAACTGAAGGTAAATTGTGAATCGCCTCCATCCTCGCTCCTTCATCCGCCCCCTGCTCCTCCATCTCTGCCTCCTGCTCAGGCACCGCAGTGGTCTCTGGGGGAAACTCCGGAATCTCCTCGCTGCCTGGCTCAGGAATTTCCTCTGGCCATGAACACTGTGCTGGCTCTGGAATTGGGGAGCATGGAGGGGTATCGTCTCCGACCGTGATCACCTCCCCATCCTGAGCCCGTACCGGATCCGGCTGTTCGGCTGCCATCTCAAGATCCTGCGGTTCGTCTCGGTCTCGCATGTCCGTCTCCATCTCGGGGTCCAAAGGCTCCTCCAACGACACATAGCCCGTCGGCTCAACTGAGCCCTCCCCCAACCGTGAGGCCTCCCATCAAGATACATCAAGGTGAGTCGCTAAGTTCCGGAATGGCGTCTATGTCAAACTCCTGCCCTGATGGCAATGGTGAGGGTAGTCTCAGCTCCTCGCTCGTAATCCGCCGAAACTCAACTGCCCGGAGACCACAAGCAGGGAACGACTCCTCTTCCGGTACGGGCCCTGCGGGCTCATCCTCTCGTTGTGCTGGGGCCCTCCTCCTCTCTCTGGTCAGCCCCACCTCTTTCGGCGCTGGTTCCCTTGGCCTCTTGCTTCGCCTCCGCCTCTCGATCCTGGGCTCGGGCCTCTCGCGCTCTGGCTGTCTGAACGCCCTCATGAGCTGGGCCTGACAGTACTCCCAATCTCGAGCCCTCTCCCGAATCTGTCTGGCCACCGGCCTCTCTGCCCCCCTAGTCTAGATAAGTAGGGCCTGTACCCACTCCTCCCGCGCAATTCCCTGACTCAACATATAGTGCTCATACGCGGGAATAAACTCCTCCGCGTTTCCTTCCTCCAATCGAATGGGCATACCATCACGCCCTCTAGGGGAAGCTCTCAACCTCTGCATCCCGGCCTCCACATCTGGCCAAGTCAGGGCCTCCTCACATATCTGAGCGACTGGCTCCTCAAACCACCCGATACCCCTCAAGTGGTGAATCCTCTCCGCCACTGACCACCCTCTTTGTGCCGCATGATCCAGATACACGTCAAGGAAGAACTCTATATTATCGCCGTTGAACTCAGATGTAGGCTTCCTCCTAGGCGGCTCATGCTGCTCGCCCCTTCCTGGTACCCTCTGGGGCCCCTGCCGTGGCCGCGTGTCCCTCCCGCCCCTCTGCATGGCTGCCTTCGAAAAGTCAGACCTGCACAACAGGCGAGAGACAACAAACAGGCACACAGTAGGGTCAGCATTCGAGCCCATTGGGTTAGGAACATCCCACATACACCCATCCACCCCAATCACCCACCTTACCTAATCACCTGACATTGGTAATACCTGGGCAAGACTCTATTCCTAACGAGGTCTCATGGTCCCTTACCTATTCCCTGGCCACGAACTTCTTCAGCCTTGTCCCTGATACCCAGTCCTGCCACCCCGCCCCATCCAGCTCTTCAATTTGGTAGGCCCCAAACTCGCCACACCGTACGATCCTATAAGGTCCCAGCCATCGTTTATCCAACTTCCTGGACCATTGTTTTTCCAGCGAGGAGTCATACAGCAGTACCGCATCTCCAACTTTCAGCGGATCCTTCCTCACACGGGCCATCTGGTCCCATCTCATCTTGTCTTCCATGCGGCTTCTCTCTACCTGACCAGCGGCCTCTCGCAACCTTTCCTCAGCAGCTCCCACATGTCGTGCCCGAATATCGAGCAATTCTTCAAAAGACAGGTTCACTTTCAGGTCCTGGTCTTCATCAAACTTTTAATGGGAAAGGTGGCATGTGTTCCGTACCATAGCGTGGCTGGCGCATACTTGGTAGTTATTTTCACTGTAACATTTTCCACGAAGAAAGCTTCTCTCAGAAACTTCGGCCACTGGTTAGGTCTCCTCTCAGTCCACTTGGCCAAGAGATTTGTGATGGTACTATGCCCCCTTTCCACAAGTGCGTTCGCCTGAGGGTGTGCGACAGTAGTATAGTTTGCTACCACGCCATACCCCGCAAGCAAGGTCCGCACCTCGTTACAGGTGAACTCCGACCCCCGATCCATTACAAATTCTCTGACAAACGGATAGCGCAGGTAGTACTCTTCGATGCACCTTGCTAAAACTGGGCCAGTTTTTGTGCAAATAGCCCGACCATCCACGAACCCGGTAAGGTTGTCCCGTGCGTCGAAGATATAGTTACTTCCATCCTCCCCGAGCGGCATAAACAACAAGTCCAGGTGCACGACTGCACCCACTTCCCTCTCCAACCTGGGGTGCAGAGGCTCCCGAGGCCTTTGCGCTGACCTTTGCTGGCAAGGTACATAGGACTAGCAGTATTTGATGACCATAGTCAGCATTCCATCCCAATGGTATAACTCGCTTATCTTTGCGCACGTGACACTAACCCCTATGTGCCCCCCTGCTATACCATCGTGTAGGGCTGCTATGACATCGATCTGCCGATTCCTCCCACATACGATCCTCTTGGGGTTCCCGACCTGCCGCTTTATAAACAGATGGTCATCTCTTACTACGTAGAGATGCCTCATCTTCTGGGCTTTAGCACTTGCGTCCCTATCCCTTATCTCGCATGACAGGAGTAATCCCAATTCCCGATAGATCCCGTCATACTCCTCAGCGCGGAAGGCCTCCCTGATCTCTCCCCCTTCGAACTCGTCGTCCTGGCTTTCAGGAACAAGGAGTTCACTCTCCTCAGGACCAAATGAGTCCCTCTGGTTAAAGCTCCCCTGCAGGAGCGTATTAGTGAGCAAATACATCCCTCTTATTAATTGTTCATGCTCCTCATTTGGGTTGGGCCTTCCTCTATCGTCCTTACTTCTTCTGCCAGACTGTGTGTACCCGTCAATGCCAACTTCATCATCCAACCAACATCCCTACTTCCCCAAGGATCTTCTTCCTGGAAGGGCTTGAGGACCAATTCCTCCTTTTGTTCGTATCCCCTCGGCGCTAGCCATATGGGGTGCGTGACGCAACTAGGCACCCTCAACGACCATTCATTTATGTAGAGGCGGACGTCCTCCTCCCAGTCTAAAAATCCGTCAACTGGCAGGGTATCCTCAATTGACTCTTGATCCGCCCCGTCCCAGTTGATACGGCTCAGCCCATCTGCCCTGTTTTTGTCCCTTAGAATCCTCTCTAACTCAAAGTTAAACATCCAAATGTAAGTCAACCACCTCGCAATGGTTGGGTCAGATGGAGTATAACTTTTCAGGGAACACGCAAGCGCAGTAGGGTCCATCCTCAAAATGAGTCTCCTGCCAAAGATATAGTTCCGGAAGGTCCTTAGGCAATGGAGTACCGCCAACGTCTCCTTTTTAAACCGCGAGTAGTTCCTCTCAGTCGAATTGAGAGTACGACTTTCGAACCTTAGCGGCCTCTCCTTCCCATCCACATCTGTCTGAATCAGGACCCCTCCTAAGGCAGTTGGCCCCGCGTCCGTCTCGACAACGAATGGCCTTTCCTCCGTGGCCTCATAATTTGGCGCTCCCAGCACCAAGACTCCTTCCTTGAACTCCCCCTTCATCCTTTCCACCGCCTTTTCCTGGTCTTCGCCCCAGACCCATTCCTCATCCTTACGCACCAGCTTCCTCAAATGCTCCGTCTTGGTGGCGAAGTCCTTCACAAAACTCCTCCAAAACCCACAGGTCCCAAGGAAGCTCCTCACATCCGTTATCAACTGAAAGAGGACTGACCATTCTAGGATCTTGTCCGTTTTCTTCACATCTGGTCTCCGCCCCTTCTCATTGCAGACAAAGCCCATAATCGTGGCCTCCCTCATACAATGCTTCGACTTGGGGCCACTCGCCGTCAGGTTGTGCTCCTCCAGCAGACCCAGAACCTGATCGATATCCTGGACATGCCTCCAGACAAATCACCTCACTCCTGGCATCACCTCATCTTCCTCCTTCTCCTTTGGACCCTTGACCGCCAGATCGTCAATGTAGGGTTGGGTGATATGTGGACTAACCGTCTGCATGGCCCTAATCATGTGCCTTTGCACCATTGCCACCGCATTAGTCCACCCCTGAGGGGCTACATTCATGTGGATCAGCCCCCTTGGCGTATGCATTGCCGTCACCGACCTATCCGGCGGGTATAAAGGAAACTAGTCATACCCAGAATAGAGGTCTATAAGTGAGATTATAGGCCTTCCTGCGCATGACTCTGACAGGGCGTCCGCGTTCGGCAATCCTCCCGCATCCCGCACCGTCACTGCATTCAAACGCTGCAAGTCCTGCATCCACCGTAGCGTCCCGTTCGGCTTTATGAAACAAAATCAAGGAGAGGCATATGGTCCACTGGAGTAATCTGTCACGTACGTCCGCATTTTCCCGTCCAGGTAGTCCACCACCTTCTTCTCCTCATCCGGATTCGGATATCGCGCGTCCCTCAGATTCCATGGCTCGTGTGGGACGGTATGGATTCGTATCATTGGGATCTTATCCACGTCCAACCTCCCGCGCTCGTCATCGTTAAATGCATACGCGCAATACCTCCTCTTCATGGTCTCCACCATCAAGGTCCTCTCCTGGGGCGAAAGGAAGCCAGGCTCACCAATTATCAGCCCCTCCTCATTCTCGTCATTGATTCGGCACGGCCCTGCCTGCGCATGCTCCCGCATACGTCTTATCAGTCCCCGCTCCTGCTCATAGTAGGCCTCTTCATCCTCTGTAACAAGCACGGAGACTGGGCGACACTTCTTATCTACGGTCTTGTACCGCCTTTGGGAGCCCTGCTTAAGCCCTCCCCTAAAAAAGGCCGACTTGTCGTTCGGGCCTGGGCCATCGCAGGGTCTCTCCTCCTTCCTGGAAACCGATATATCAGCTCCACCTCTCCCACTTGAGGATTTTCCAGGACCTGCTCTCTCAATGCCTTTATGGCCTCGGGGTCCGCCGTATCATGCGCCGCCACCACCTCCATCGCCTTATTTACGTCGTTAAGGCTCAACGACAGTACCTCGGCCGCTCCTTCCTCCTCTTGTTCCTCCCGGAGTCTTCGTCGCGCGTACTCAGACTCTTCGAAGGTAAAGGAGCCAAGGTTGAGCCTGTTCCTCCCACTTCCGGGCCCTGTATTCCGACACTTAATAATCTCGTAATTCCCGCAGGCCGGATCAGATAGGGCCAAGATCATCGTCCCCTCATGCCTATTGAAGACCAAGGTCTCCGTTCGGCAGAGGAACGACCTCCCCAGAAGGATAGGGTGGTCAACATCGGGCATGACGAAGAAGCACGTTCGCGCCCTTACCCTCCCAATTTTCACCATCACGTTAGACACGGTGCCGCAGAAAATTGCCTTGCAGTTGGCACCATGCAGGCTGATGCAGCACACCATGGTCCGAATGGTCAACCTCCAGCCCTAGCATGGTCGCGTCCCGCTCCCGAATGATATTCATCTCGGCGCCCGTGTCCACCATTGCGATGCTCGGCTGGTCTCTCACCTTTAGATCCACCAACCCGCATGCCACACATTTCCAATCCATCCTGATGCCCGCCTCTGTCCACTCTATCTCCCTGGGCAGAATTGAGCTCAGGTGGACGTTGGGCACTAACCTTCGTAAGAGTCGTCCTTTCAGCTCGCCACGGAGCCTTGGTGCCGACGCCAAGATGTCCTTTAGATTCATCAAATCATTGTGGCCCTCCAGGAGCTTGTCCACCATTCGCTCCACGTCAAAGCCTTCCTCTAGCAGTACCGCGTGGCACACCGTTGCGCAGGCTCGGCTCCGCCTCTCCCTGAACTCCTCTCTTCTTGGCCCTCTGCTCAGCTCGCCGGTCCTCTTCCTGGCGGAACCTCTCATTCTCTGCGTCATCACCCTCCTCTTCTTCCTCCTGGACCTCTACCACTTCTTTCCTTCGTTCAGGCTCAGGTTCCTTTCGAGGGGGCGCCCGACCAGGTGCCTGGCTGGGCCCTTGACTAGTGGTAGCCTTACTTTGGTCCCTAGTCTGTGCGGCCTGTGGTACCCTTCCATGCGATGTAGGCGGCCTGAAGGTCATCCCTGACCTAGGACCTACCCCGGCTGTCGCCACGCTGGGACACCCTTGCGGTCCTGATGACGACTCCGGGCCGGATCCATAAAGCATCACTTCAGGGAGGTTCATTTCCCATTACCGGGCCTCTTCGCACATCACTCTCAGCCGTTCCTGGTACCTGCCGACCTTTGCAAGCTGGTCCTTCATCCTTTCCAGGATGGTCGAGGCGGACTCTTCCACCACTTCCAACTCCTCGTCGTCCGACTCAACGACTATCGGTTCCTCCTTTATAGTCCCGCCTTCAGCCGTTGAGTCACTTCCTCATTTTCACCCACAATCTCCTCGACTCTCACACCCGGGTCCTGCCTTTCCTGCCATATCCTGATCATTGCTGGGGCTGCTGGAGGCCCTGCCGCCGCTCGCCCGAGGGCTTCCTGCCTGATTCCTCCCGGGGTCTTGGGATCAATGTGCTTCCCTCACCTATCGTATATGTCCCCGTCCATACAGGAGGAGATCAGTCCTGCCAGCTCGTCGTCCCGCCGCTGTTGGCAGAACTGTATGGTGTGGCCCACCTCGCCACAATGCCAACAAGTTGAGTTGCGCCAATCGAAGCGGGGCCTCCCATACCCTTGGCCCCCCTCCTGGCTGCCCTAGCCACCCTGGCTCTGGCCTCCCTGATTATTCCAACCACCCGCACGGCCCCCACCATTTCCTCCTCGCCCCCGGCCACCCCCCCCTCGGCCTCCTTGGCCCCGGCCCCCATTGCCTTGCCCGCCTTGTCCTTGACTCCCTACCCCGGCCACACTAGCTTGCGAGGCCTGCTGGGAGGGCGGCGGTTGGGCCACAGGCTGGCCTTGAGTCGTTGGTAGCTCAGGGGCCCCATACTTGCCGATGGGCCCGAATTGGGGACCATGTGCCCCGTGTGGGCTTGACTCCCTCCACATGAGACACAGTGGTTGCAATTGGGCCAGGGCGCAGATTGGCAATGCGGCACCCAGTGCCCGCAGGCTGGCGGCGGCCCCATATGCGATGGCCCTGCTGGCGCTGGCGCTGGCGCGGCCTCGGCGACAGGCGGTGGTGCGGCAATGGCTTGGGGAGCCTGCCCCTTCCCTGATCCCTGCCCTCCTAGTAGCAGGTTACGCTGCTTCCTCTGGGCCTTAGTCAGGGCTTGGGAGCCCGTCTCCCCTCCGCCGTAGTCCTCGCACCCGACCTCCTCATCCCCTGCTCCAGGCGCCCGGCCCTGGGCCACTATCACCCCCCTTTTGTGTATTTTTGCTTCATTGTCATACCCCAGTACCGCCAACACGTCCGTGACGATTCTCTTCACCCCTGGGGTCCCCGATGCAGTAGCATCCCTCTCCTTCCTCTTACGCCTTTGCAGCCTCATTTGGTGCTGCTCCACCTGGTCCAGGCTCCCTTCTTCCACTCCCTTGTCAATAGTTGCCCAGGTGAGCCTCTCACTCCCTTCCCCATACTTTGTCAACTTTGTGGCCTCCGAGCCCGTAAGCAACCTCAGAAATGTAGCGCACTGCGCCTCCTCCGAAATCCCGTGCACTTTCCTCGCCTTTTTCTTAAATTCGTGCACGAACGCCCCCATAGTAGAAAAGTCTTCCTTATTCATGGCCTCCAAGTCGCCCATGGTCAACAGGCCATCCCCTAGCCTGTACTTCCTCCGCATCAGGTCCCCAAACTTCGTCCAATTGCCATTGGCAGCGTCCACAACCTTACTTACTTCCCGATGGTGACTATGCAGGACGTACCTTAGAACCCGCTAGAGCTTCACCTCATCTAACATCCCTACCAGCGCCTGCTCTGTCAGATCCAACCAGTGAGATACCCGATCCCCCTCGAAGTGGAATGTCTCAACCTTTGGGACATTACTTGGAGCCCTCTCGCACTTGTCCAAGGCATCGATGAGGTCATCGAGTGTCACGAGCTTCCTCCCACCGTCCACCATCTCCTCTGGCATTTTGATCAACCGCCTCCGACTTCAAATTTCCTGTTATAAGAAACGATAGGACGAAAGGCCCCACTCAGCAGCTCATTCCCTCACGACCCTATCGGGTTGACCCCTCAAACATCCGATGCTCTAGACCTGGCAGACATTTCTCTTCCCATTTCCCCTAGGTACCTAGAGGGGCCTATCCTTACCATAAGGTCTCCTCACACATTCGTCTTACCCACGCCATCAGCCAAGCCGCCAATCAGTCAATCATTCACACCCATAGTCATATAAACTCCCTTACAATTCATCTCATAATCTCCCTTTATCCACTCATATGCCTAGTTCTCCTTCACTCCCATACCAGGATGTCGTTCCACCAGGGACAACGGTAGGCTTCCGTTATCCCCGGCAACGGCGCCACCTGTCGAGCGCATCGGTCCGGTACCGCGCGTGGCAGTGCGGGACCCTCTCGGCCGCGTCATGCAGGAGTTGGACCAACCTCGTCATGAACACGCAAATGGAGCTTCCTTAGGCCGCTCCGGCCGAGTGCGCCAGCCATACCTCTCGCGAGCCCCTACGACAGGATAGGGCCTACGTGAGGCACAACTTACCTCCACCTTACGGGAGTTGTCACCTCCCTTCGGTGGGCGTATCCCCGCCGAGCTACCAGTCCACAGTACGAAAGCTCATCAATTGCAATCACAGAGGTGGACCAACCGAGGGCGTTTTTCGCTCGCTGTAGCATAGGGGGTACGCGCGGTAATACGCCTATCGGACCCGCGCGTGAGCCGACATCTCAGGGGGCTGAAGTCCCAAGCGCGACTCGACATCGGTTGACTATGACACATCCCACACACCACGCGCACACCACTCTACGAACACTACCAAAACACGCACACACACGTACGCACACGAAAACGACCCAACACAGACAACGCGACAACGCTCCTAGCCCCTCGGTAGCCAACCTATAACCTTCCAATACGGAAATCGAGTAGGTGTCGCGCGCGGGACTTAGTATAAAACCGCGCGGGCGCAAGGCTAACACATATCGACTCGCAATGCAAGCGTACTCAAGCAGTCGCGATCATGGCGTACTATGTGGTACCCACACTCTCGCGGCCCTCGTTAATCTCGAGGGTCGCGTTCGACACTCAAGTGTCGGCTGACACGCACCTTGAGGGTTAATCTCTCAGTGCTAGACAACCGTCATGCGCGGTTGAAGACCACACACCGTCTTCTGCACCCTTATGCAGAATGGGTGGTACACAGGTCCACGCTTGTGGTGGTAGTCGTCTCCCGCGGCCCTAGGGGAAAGTCCTCCCCAGGGCCTTGGCGAAAGCCAAGGGGTTTGACTTTGACGACTGCCATGGACTATAACGTCCAACCATAAAAATCTCTAAGAAGCAAACAAAACACGCACGAACCCAAGAAGAGGGAATAGGGCAAAGGTCCCCTGGCTTTTAAAAGGACTCGTGACCTTGGGGCACCCTTCCCCTCTATGGGTGGTGCCGACGGCCTACAATAATCCCAGCGCTGCGCCTACGCCCGAGCCCAGCGATCCCATAACTTTTAGACGCCGGGGCGGCAAAACGTCGCGTGCAGGATTCTAACATAAAGTTGCGCGGCCGCAGGCCAATTCTATACCAACCACCGATGCCAATCGTACGTGGTAATCGCGGTTCCGGCCTCGCGATATTGAATGGTTGAAGGAACACACCGTGAGGGGCCACCCCTCACGATATTGAACGGCTGAAGGACACACCGTTCGGCCCTCGCGGCATTTCCACCTTCAAGGTGGGGTGTCTCGCCGGCCAAAGTAAATAGGCTCGGTGCGAGGGGAGACTCCTCCCCTGCAGAGCCTAG